GAGACTCTACAGTTCAACTACAGTTGCGAAAATGAGTAGATTACCTGAAAGATGCAGACTTCCCAGGCAGGCTTAGGAGGACTCCCAGCAGTTCAGAACTCACCAACAGATTTACTGTGGAATCTGCCTCTTACCACAGAACTCAGTGACTTGAAAATATGCATTACTTAAATCCAAAAAAATCTCATCTGCCACAAAACCGGAGGCGGAAGATTATGGAGTAATATTGAGAAATAAAAACTCTGATAAAATACTCCGTAATACTTTCCATTTCAGGCTTAGCTCATCCCTCCTTTTTTTCTGGTGGTTTTTTTTTTTTGTTTTTTTTTTCACATTTTTAGATCTTTTTTAATACTTCCATAAGTCATAGAATCATAGAATCACAGAATCATAGAACACTTAGGGTTGGAAAGGACCTTAAGATCATCAAGTTCCAACCCCCCTGCCATGGGCAGGGACACCTCACACTAAACCATCTCACCCAAGGCTCTATCCAATCCGGCCTTGAACACTGCCAGGGATGGAGCATTCACAGCTTCCCTGGGCAACCTATTCCAGTGCCTCACCACCCTCACAGGAAAGGGTTTCCTCCTTACATCCAACCTAAACTTCCCCTGTTTAAGTTTTAACCCATTACCCCTTGTCCTATCACTACAGTCCCTAATGAAGAGTCCCTCCCCAGCATCCCTATAGGCCCCCTTCAGATACTGGAAGGCTGCTAGGAGGTCTCCACACAGCCTTCTCTTCTCCAGGCTCAACAGCCCCAACTTTCTCAGCCTGTCTTCATACAGGAGGTGCTCCAGTCCCAATCATCCTCGTGGCCCTTCTCTGGACTTGCTCCAGCAGTTCCATGTCCTTTTTATGTTGAGGACACCAGAACTGCACACAATGCTCCAGGTGAGGTCTCACGAGAGCATAGTAGAGGGGCAGGATCACCTCCTTTGACCTGCTGGTCACGCTCCTTTTGATGCAGCCCAGGATACGGTTGGCTTTCTGGGCTGCAAGCACACACTGAAGCCAGCTCATGTTCATTTTCTCATCAACCAACACCCCCAAGTGCTTCTCTGCAGGGCTGCTCTGAATCTCTTCTCCGCCCAACCTGTAGCTGTACTTGGGATTGCTCCGACCCAGGTGTAGGACCTTCCACTTGTCATGGTTAAACCTCATGAGGTTGCCATCAGCCCACCTCACAAGCGTGTCAAGGTCCTCTGGATGGCATTCCTTCCCTCCAGCGTATCAACCGACCCACACAGCTTGGTGTCATCGGCAAACTTGCTGAGGGCGCACTCAATCCCACTGTCCATGTCAGCAATAAAGATGTTGAACAAGACCGGTCCCAACACCGATCCCTGAAGGACACCACTTCTTACTGGTCTCCAGCTGGACATTAAGCAATTGACCACAACTCTTCGTGTGCGGCCACCCAGAAAGTTCTTTATCCACCGAGTGCTCCATCCATCAAATTGATGTCTCTCCAATTTAGAGACAAGGATGTCATGTGGGACAGTGTCGAACGCTTTACACAAGTCCAGGTAGATGACATCAACTGCTCTACCCCTGTCCATCAGTTCCATAGCCCCGTCACAGAAGGCCACCAAAGTGGTCAGGCAGGATTTCCCCTTAGTGAAGCCATGCTGGCTGTCACCAAGCACCTTGTTGATTTTCATGTGCCTTAGCATGCCTTCCAGGAGAATCTGCTCCAAGATTTTGCCAGGCACAGAGGTGAGACTGACTGGTCTGTAATTCCCCAGGTCATCCATTTTCCCCCTCTTGAAAATGGGGGTTATATTTCCCTTTTTCCAGTCATCGGGAACTTCACCTGACTGCCATGATTTTTCAAATATGATAGCCAGTGGCTTAGCAACTTTATTCACCAGCTCCTTCAGGACCTGTGGATGGATTTCATCAGGTCCCATGGACTTGTGCATGGTCAGGTTCTTGAGATAGTCTCAAACCAGATCTTCTCCTACAGTGGGCCTAATGTCTTCATTCTCACAGTCCCTGCATCTGCCTTCCAATACCCAGTGGTGTGGTCAGAGCACTTGCCAGTGAAGGCTGAGGCAAAGAAGTCATTAAGAACCTCAGCCTTCTCCAAATCCAGGGTATCCAGTTCTCCTGATAACTTCCAGAGAGAGCCCACATTGTTCTTAGTCTGTCTTTTGCTTGCAATGTAGCTATAGAATCCCTTCCTGTTATCTTTCACATCCCTAGCCAAGTTTAATTCTAACTGAGCCTTAGCTTTCCTAACCTGGTCCCTAGCTTCCTGGACAACATCCCTGTATCATCCCTGTAGTCGGACTGATTACATGTGCTACAGCGAGTTCTCAAAACCAAGTGAAGAACCTCATGTACTCAAGTGAGCCTCATTACAGTGTTTTAGTTAAAATTAGCAAAGCAATGCCCAGGTTTCCTAAGGCAAAGGAAGGTTGAGATAGGTACTCAAAGCAGACTTGATAAAACTAAGTTTTAGACTTGTGCTAGTTTGGGAAAACAAGTACATGTTTTCTAATGTACTTGGACATGGGAAAACAACTCCCCTCTCAACTGAGAATATATAACAACTGCTAGACATTGCTCAGGCACTTCAGGATAATGGGGAACACAGCAGCACAGAGCTTTTGTAATGCAGAAAATTGCCTTTAACACTTCACTCAAATACACTGCAACAGCACATTGGAATCCCTTTAAAAGATTCAAAGAACTCAATGAGACAGAAGAACATTATCAATCTGCATAAAACATAAGTTATGCAATAGTAGCTTTTACACAGAAGGTAGACGCAGAAAACTAGAAAAGAAGAAACCAACACTAATGAATTTGAACTAATGAATTCTGAATTTGCACACACACACACACAAATAGAGCTGAAGGTTAAAACCAAAAAATTCACAACTTTCAGATTCAAAAATATATCAGATTCATATCCCTGGAGGATGAGCACTCTGACACAGTATCACTATGACTACTAGACTCTCATACTCCCTCCTAGACATTTTGACACTGGCCCCTGTCACAAAGGAGTATACTAAGCTAACAAAACCTTTCAACTGTAGTGGACTACCTGAACAAAAGAAAATAAGCAGCCAAAATAACTGACATAATAAAGAAAAATAGTATCAATAGTTAGGCAACCAAGGTAACGGACTTATATATTCCAGGAAACAGCAACGCTGCACTGAAGACAATGAGGAAGTCTGGTGTACGCCTCTATACACTATTTATACACACTACACCCTTTATGTTAGCAGAATACAAGGAGCCAAGCATCTTCTGTCAAGCAACCAAACTGACAAGTGATAAAAAGCTATGAAAACTGAGAGAAAACAAAGGAAAAAATACTAGAACTAAACCTCCAGCCAAGTAAAGTACAGGTTAGAAGGCAGAGTATGAAGTTGAATGCTCTAACACCATATCTGACTTCTTTAACCTACTACATTCTCTCTGTTCCTCCTTCACTTACAGAAAAATAGGAAATTATGACCTCAATCCCAATGACCACAGGACTGATTTAACTACAGATACTGATGATACCATTGTAATATCAAGTTAATCCATCCATTCAGTAAAATAATTCCATTATTATAAGTAAAAATAAAATCTGGGGATTTTTTAACTATTTCTTTAGGGCACATACTAGCACATAGCTATGCTTACATTACTGTTGCCCAACGGGCTGCACTTACAAGGACATATCCAGCTTTTTTCTGTACAAAATGACCTAAGAGCTGTTCTGAGCAGCTGCCTATATCATGTTTTGTGATTTTTTTCTATTAAAGTAATAATTCAGTTTATATACTGAAAAAAAAAAAAAAGTCAATATATTTCACAGACTATTCACATTCCACAGCAGTGGACATTTTCTTAAATAGCTCTGCAACTGTCCTAATGCAGCAACATTTCAGTTCTGCATATCCTTGTGGATAACACACAACTGAAATCTGTCAATAAACTCAACAGTGTTCCAAGCAAGTATCTGTGGTGCCAAGGAAAAAAAAAAAACAACAAATAAACATGTTTTTCATTAAAAAGATGACAGCATAACTTCATTTGAAGTCTTCATAATTGTTTAAAAAGCGAAGACTAACATAGTTTAACGGCGTTCCACACAACATCCAAATTCACAAACAGGGAGTGAAACAGGCAGTGGTGAGCTGAAGTCGATATAATGAAAGGCAGGGTTGAGTTTCTTCATAGATTGTTTCAGAATACCTGTATGGGCTTTACATAACACCCTCATCACCACAATGGCAACCTAAAACAGTTAGAATTCTTTTTTCCCAAAACTTAAAATGTGCAACAGTAACGTATCTTCTACGGTAAGTTAATAAATAGCAGAGGTGATGTTTGATCAGTAGCTGTTGCTAAGGGAGTACACAGTCATTTCTCTCCAGAAAACCATTTAAAAATTAATAAGCAAAAAGAGATTCAAAAGCTGCCATTTGGACACATAACAACTTCTAAGAGACTACAACTGAAGAACACAATGTGAAGGGCTAAGAATCAAATTAGCAGTGACATCAACCACCATTAAGTTCTCCTTTGAGGACTGATTTAGAAACTTCACACTACAAATGCAACTAATTAATTATGCCCTACAAAGGTTTTATGCACAACATTGTTCTAATGTATTCAAGCATTCCAGTTTTCTGAAGAAGCTCATAAACTACAGCTCGGACACCCAGATAGCTTGCAGCTAAATCATTTTAACCCGCCAAAACTCAGTTAAGCTTCAGCTACAGAAACAAACCCAAAGAAACCTACACACAAACATGCATGCAAATGCTTCCCTTCCCCTATAAAGCCCAACTTTATGTCTCCTTTAACAGTCTCCTTATCTTTAATACTGCAGAACTGAATGTATTACTTAAAGAATTCCCTTGTTTCTTGTCTTCTGTCATCCACACAGCACAGCTAATAGCAACTGTATTCTAATAAAAACCCATTCACAGTTGTTTGAAACCATTATATGACTTTAGAAAGTAAAATGTATAACCTCTTACCTGAGCATGAAAATTTGACATAGTCGTTGTCTCTATATCTTTCTTTCCCAAAATCTCCATTTTCACTGGTGAATTGGGAAAATTAAACGAAAAGTAGTCTAAAAAGTCAGGTAAATAAGTAGCTGCCCCATGAACAATACCCATTACATAGTAAGCTGCACAGTTTTCATTTTCACTAAAAACCAGACCCACAAACTCTTCTGCAAATCTCTCCATCTCCACAGGAGACAAGTGGGAGAGTTCATTACTGTAGGCATGGATAACTGATGCACCTCCGTTAGGCTGGTGCTCAATATGAATCAGCTGTTTGAACTCCAATGTGTCCAACCTTTTGAGTTTATTTTGAACCCGTGGCTCCTTTAACGAGACAAATGGAAACTCACTGTTCTCTGGTATCTTGGACTCACAGTCCTTCTTGGGATCCATATTTTTCCCACTGAAATCCTTAAGATGATCATCTATGATGCCTTTGGCTTCCTGATCCTCAATATCAGAAACCAATCCTGAGCAGATGGTCTGAATAGATTTGCTGTACATTTTTGGACGCTTCCTCTTCTCATTCTCTTTATGTTTCTTTTTCTTTTTCTTCTTAACTTTTTTAATCTGTAGCTCTTCTGCATTGGTTTTTGGTTTCTCCTTCCCACCTGTTGAGAGGAAGAAAAGTTCTCTTAACTACCTTTGTATATAAAATACGTATTTAAAGATGGGGATCTGAAGTCACCAAAACCCTCACAGTGGCACACAAAGACCTGAGTACTGAGAATCACGTGTATCTTACTCAAAATGAGTAGTGAGAAACACCTGCCATGTTCACAAAGTTTCCCAGGGCTGCTTTCATGACAAGTCACAACCCTTACTCATACCTTTTAACTGCTCATCAGCAATTACTACACCAGAAAGTTCAGACATTGTGTGACAGTTGTCAAAAGGGGTTTGGGAACAGTCAGTGAATATCAGCCATCATCAGCCAGCTGTTCACAAGATGCCACTGCCAGAACCTACCTTGTTAGATGGCTTTATATGGTGATTCTTCCAGAACTAAACAACCTAATGAAATACAGCTGGAAATATCTGAAACCTGACCCATGCTTCTCAAAAAAAAAACAAAAAACCCAACAAACAAGACACAAAAAAAAACCATCACAACCAACGACCAAAACCTCACCAAACAGACTAGCTTCAAGTTTATATAATATGCAAGCTAAACTGAAAACAAACTGTAACGGCCTAAAGACAAAAACTATTCATTTGGGGATAATATGTTCCGAGTGATTCCCAAGGTAAAACATTGTCTCTTGCTGTAAAGTGCTTTCCTTCAAGTGCTTTTGGGGTGTATTTGCAAGTATAATAAAGGCAGTAGGCAAAGAGACTTCTGTCACTACACTGCCCTAACATCTAACCAGTTGAAATCATTTCCCAATTTGATAAATAACTGGGCATGTTACAGCACAAAATTATATTCACAACAAGCAACTCAAGATCAGCAGGTTCAGCCACAGGAGTTAAATTAGCCAATCTCTACTACTATCCTGTAATGGACTATTTTCAGCTTCCAATCCTCAACTCAAGTAATTCACACAAGTCCTTAAAACAGTCACAACTGTGGTGCACGGAATAACACATTCTTGTGATAATTAAGAGGCTTGGATACGGAAGCTACAGACACTAAAAAGGAGAACAAGCAATTACGACACTTGCCTCTGAGCCTCTTGAGGTTTCTGACAGCAGCTATGTATCTCAGGGATTTCTGAAGTGGGGCAAGCAAGCTAGTTAACTCTCCAGCTTCTATTTTCTCCTCTTGTAAGGGCAAAGAAGTGCCCTGAGGCCACTTATTTCTTACTTAGCCCAAACAAGAAAGTGGGGTCTAGGATTTCTTAAACTAATCCAAGCAGTTAAGAGCTACAAAGGCTCCCTTCACTCTAAATGAGACTGAACATAGCATACTCTGTAAGCACTATTTCACTTTTAACTACTCAAGTCTGACTGCCAAAAGGCACAGCATCCTCATGAAAATGTGTCCTTTCACTAGGCTAAATTAATGTAAAACTAGTTTGGGACTGCAACAGGACTGCTTCATCTGGTAAATGGAATATTTGTTTCTTCTTTGTTAACATCTACCTTCTGACACAAGTACCTGTAAATCTAGTGGGCATGGAAAGTGCAGAAAGAGCAATACATGTACAAGAAAACTACCTCAACCTTAGAGGAGTCCTGAAAATAGTCCATTGAGGGTGCCAGGATCCTGGAGTGAAATGTCATCACCTGACAAAAATCACCTGCTGCTCACATTCTGGGTATTGCACCAGTTCCATGCAGTTAATAACAGTGAGAAGTTCCATATTAAAGGCTTAGAAATCTCAATCCAAACTTCAAAATACGAACTACAGAATAGATAATCTTTTCCCTCCTCCTGATCGCAGGAATACACAACCTGAAAGCATCTAAGAGTCTACAGGTATTTCAAAATCTTAAAAATGCTTTAACTTAACATTTTAAAATTGTTTCACTCTAAATATGAAAACTCTTTGCTCTACTGATGGATACCACTGTCAGCATTTCCAGGTTATTAGTCTGAATATAGGAAACATGGAATTAAAGCACTGAACGCCGCAGCAAGGTGAGGCAGGGGAAAGCAGGGGCTACTTGTCAACCAATTCGCACTCAAATGGAGCTCAGATTTTTGTATAGACTAATCACTCAGATGTGGAACTTCATTCATGGCAGGGAAAGGATGCAAATTTATATTCACCGAGTTACAATCAGCAGTAACATAAATTGTACTTGCAACAAGTACAACTTAGGTTACTGCTGACTGTAACTCAATGAATATAAATTGTATATTGTATACATAAATTGTATATATAAATTGTACTTGCAACAAGTACAACTTCTAAGTTTAGAGCAAAAAGCTATTTGCTAGAATAAGAGCCAAACTGCTCTCTCATACTTTGGTATGTCTATCACAAGATTATCTGGTCTCCCCTTTCAATCTGTCCTATTCCCTGACTTTGACTATATCTTCCAACAAGTTTTACTGACTAACAATCAACTCCATTCAGCTGATTTGTAGTTTTGTAACCTTCAAAGTGTTTGGGGTCTCGTGTTTTGGGGTTTGGTTTGTTTTTTGCATAGCTGCATCTGTGAAATACATTAAATGAAGGATTAAAAAAACAGCCACCACATATTACAGGGGGAGCTGAATGAAGCTGATTGTTAGTAAAAGTTATCAATGTCAAATAGGCAGAATATAAATCAATGTCAGAAGATGCAAAGTTCACATAAACACATCCAGGAAAGTCGGCACTCAAAACCTGTTGTAAAAACATGTTTTAGTTAACTTGGTCTGAGGAGGAAATACATCAAGACATCTTTGAAGTGAAGAACATTTATCACTCTGTGTGAGTGTTTTCACACCATCTCCATGAAACTTTCAGAACGAAAAAAAACCAACTTCTTAACTACAGCATAAAGATAATTTTTTTTATGGCATCCAACACAGTCCTCCTTCCAGCTTGAAATGTTCTGTTCAGCTTTATATACAAATATTTTAATAATATAGACTGCTTTGACTTCTGATCACAGGCTATGAGGGTTTGCCACCTACACATACATCAAGTCCTAGAGTTCATCAGTACACACTTTCCCAAATCGTAAGTTGCAAAAATGGTGCACGCAACTTGGAGCCAAGTAAATATTTGCTAGCAGCCTCTCATCTCTGAATACCACTCTTTTCTCTTCCACAGACCATTTTGGATCTCTATACTGGATGGAATTGAGGCCATTTTTAATTCTGTAACACCTGGAAACCAAGAGAGCAACAATCACCAAAGGAACAAAAGGCTGTGTAATAAAAAACCACCAGAATATCTATGATGAGAAGCAGCAGAGCACCCTGAACTGCTACTTGCAACTGGGAAGAGAAAAAAATCCAAATGGGGAGCGTCTGAGCAGAAATGGAAAGATAACGTGTCTTCAGAAACTGATTGTTTTGAGCCTTTCTCAAATTCACACATGCTTATGCTACTGCACACAGAAGACAAATTCCATCAAGAACTCTACTTCATTTTCACACTGGCAGCAAACGATGTACTTAGGAAAAAGTATTTTTAGATGCTTTGGACACTGTATTTCATAGAGAAAATGGTATTAAATACTGAAAGACTGGGAAAATTATAAATTCATAATTATTTGTTCGGCCTTCAAATGTGGATATATGATACAGCTCGGCAAAGTCCAATTTCCCACTCCCCTCTGCCACCATTCCTGGCACATAGGCCTGCCCCATTTCTGCTACTGGCTGATGCTCCTCTGACTGCACAGAAAATTGACATAATGGCTCAGCAAAAACCCATTCCCTTTGCTGCTAGATTAGTGAGCAGAACTTGTTTACAGATTTGTCAGAGAGGAAACAGAACATGGAGATCACAGCAGGCAGTGAGGAACAGCAGAACCCACCCATCATAAGGTGCAACAAACCCCTTGGCCTGCTGAGCTACACTGCCCATACTACATTCACCATCCACCCTGAGCATGAACAAGGCTGAAATTTTAAGGGTTAAAAAAAAAAAAAATCCTCTGGCCACACATAACACTGCCTTAACACACACATGAGACAGGACCAGTTTCCTAGCAATCCTTAATAGTGTGCAAGCCCAGATTGGACAGGGCTTTGAGCAACCTGGCCTAGTGGAAGGTGTCCCTGCCCATGGCAAAGGCATGGAGCTAGGTGATCTTTAAGGTCCCTTCCAACCCAAACCATTATGTGATTCTATGACTCCATGAAAATTTCCTCACCCAAAAGTCTGAACTTTTAAATCTAACATTCAACTTCCACAATTTACCTTTGTAAAGGTAACACTCTAGTGTATTTAGCTGCAACATGGATCAGACCACCATTTCTTCCCTGCCCTTTATTACAGTGAGTGGGTGATGCTGTGCAGTGCTTCTTCCCGATCCTATTTTGACAACATATGCCCAACTTAAGAATATTTGCGTTCAATTACTTCAGCATAAAGCCAAAGTTTGCCTGAGGAATACAAACACAAAATGGAAAAATAGTTTTTAGAATTTGTATTTCTCAGCAAAGCTTGAATAGAATTTCATAGAATGAGGAGGAGGCACATTTCTAGCCCAGGGCTTTTCTGCTCTGCTGAATTTCAAAGATACCTCTGAAGTAGGTGTTTAAAGCTGCTCAGAAGTTGCTATGATTTCAATGGCAAAAGGAATTACTTGCTGGAATACTGAGATTGCTATCAGCAATGCCCAATGAAGTACTTTCATCTTATTCTTCTTTTCCATTAGCTTCAGAAAGGAGCAGAAATGCAATCATTCAGTCATTTCTCTGCTGCATACATCAAAATACTTTAAAGCAATATGTGCTGCTTCTTCCAAAAACAGTAATGCTGCTTTGACACTTGGCTATCGGACAGGGAAGAGCAGCTGCCTTCCATGCCTTCCTAGGACAGTTAATCAAGTTGCCTCACAGATGAACAGAATTTGGTGAAAATATAAGCAAACAATCCAAAAGGCTAAATAAAGACCCTAACACTGCAAGACACATATCCAAACTAGCTCTGTTTTAAGCCAGATTTAGCAGCAGCAATGAAGTGCTCAATGGAAGCTAACTTATTTCACCCTTCAGGTA